TGTGAAAGTGACAGGAGAAACGGGCACTGTCTATGATTCAATAGAACTAATGGAAATCACCTATTCCGATGGATAGGTAGACATATGTACAGAGATGATAGATGATGTATGTGTAGATATAAGACAGACTATGGATAGATGACAGGTAGTTAGATATATAGGTAGGTAGGTAGATAGATAGATAGATATATAGATGATAGATAGAGAGATGATAGATAGATAGATAGATGATAGATAGATAGATAGATAGATAGATAGATAGATAGATAGATAGATTGATAGATAGATGACAGGTAGTTAGATAATAGATGATAGATACATAGATAGATAGATAGATAGATAGATAGATAGATAGATAGATAGATAGATGGATAGATAGATAGATAATAGATAGATAGATAGATAGATAGATAGATAGATAGATAGGTAGGTAGGTAGATAGATGATATCTGGGGAGCAATACTGGGGTTTGAACCCAAGGCCTTATGTTTTCAAGGCAAGAATGCTACCATCTTACTATGTAGCTCAAAATGGTCTCAATCTCCAAATGGCTGGATTATGGCCACTCCCACGCATTTTTTCCCCTAAGGACTATTGGTGGCGTTGCCTGAGCATTGCTAGGAGAACATGGCCAACCATCCAGCATATAGTCCGTTTGCGACATTCACAGGAGAAGACAGGGTCTGTCTTGGAGCAGTCTTGTCTCAGGGAATGAAGTAGTGTTCACCGAATTTGGATCTTCTGACCTGGGCTGGTCAGGATGAAAGACTGGAGGGCAGTCCAGAAAACCAGGGTGTGCGTGATACATGACCTTGGTGGGAATTTGCTTCTGTCAAAGTTTCATCCCTCTGAACCTTGTGTGTGTTCACTTGCACATGCATGTGCCTGTGTGTGTGTGTGTGCATGTGGAGGCAGATGTTGACGCTGGGTGTCTTCCTCAATTGTTTTTCAACTTCCTTTTTTAAACTAAGTTATTTTTTAAGATCACATTATTTATTTATTTGTTTGTTTGCTTGTTTTTGTGTGCACGTGTGTGCAAAGGCATGCATGCCCTGGCTCATGGGCATAGAGCTCAGAGGACAGCTTTCAGAAGTTGGTTCTCTTCTTTCACCATGTGGATCGCAGGGCTCAAACTCAGGTTGCCAGGCAGGGCGGCAGGCACCTTTACTGGCCGAGCCAGCTCACCAACCCTAATTAAAAACACAGCATTTTTCTCTCTGTGTGTGTGTGTGAGTTTGGTATGCCTGTGCAGCAAAGCATACGTGGAGGTCAGAGAAACTTCCAGAAATCTCTTCTCTGCTTCCACTGCAGGATCTGGGATCAATCTCAGGTCTTCAGGCTTGTGTGGCAAACACTTTTACCCAGCGGGCCCTTCAGCAGCCTCCCCTTATTTACTGATTTGTTTAGGTTCACTCACTACTATGTTATGTGTATGTGTGTTTTGCTTGCATGTATATATACACGTAATGATGTGTGCCTGGCATCCATGCTCTTAGAACTCCTAGAAAAGACAATGTGGGTGCTGGGAACTGAACCTCTGTCCTCTGCAAGAGCAGTGACTGCTCTTAATCACTGAGCCATCCTGCCAGCCTCTATTTATTTATTTCAACTTTTCTTTTTTCTTTTTTTTTTTCGAGACAGGGTTTCTCTGTAGCTTTGGTAGCTCTCCTGGATCCTGCTCTGTAGACCAGTCTGGCCTTGAACTCACAGAGATCCGCCTGCCTCTGCCTCCCGAGTACTGGGATCAAACGCATGCACCACCACTGCCCGGCCAATTCCAATTTTTCTTTATTCTTTGGAATTTACTCTATGTATACAACGAAATAGTCATCTTGTACATCCCCGATATCATACGGTGCTGAGGTTGCCTGAGCAAGGACCTGCTCAAGATCAAGTTAGCCAAAATGTTGACATGGAAGGGGATAGATTATCTCTAGGCCCCACCCCTAACCTAAGAGCTATGGACAGGCTCTGACCTCAGCCTAATCAAAGCTTTAAGAGCACTGTGTTAACCAGGCATGGTGGGTGTACATCCGTGATGCTGGCACTTGGGAGTTGAGAAAGGAGGTTCAGAACCTCAAGGTTATTTTCAACTTCTTCATGCAGTTGAAAGACCAGCCTGAGCTTCCCAGAACTCGAAAAACAAAACAAATCAAAGCTGGGCAGTGGTGGCTCACGCCTTTAGTCCCAGCACTCGGGAGGCAGAGCCAGGCGGATCTCTGTTAGTTCGAGGCCAGCCTGGGCTACAGACTGAGTTCCAGGAAAGGCGCAAAGCTACACAGAGAAACCCTGTCTCGAAAAACAAAAACAAAAACAAGCAAACAAATCAAACAAACAAACAATCAAAAAACCCCAAGAAATGAGAAGAGAAATCTGAGAAGTGCTGGGCTAGAGTAAGACACCTCAACCTGGTTGAACAAGGGGTTGATGGAGAGCTGGTAATCTGAGGGCCTGAAATACCCGCTGACTGCCTCTCTTTGTTTGGGATCCCTGCTCAGCTTGAATTATT